GAAGTGGCAATGGGAGGCTTTTATTTTGAAATTTGCTGTGGGTGTGTGTTTTGAAAAACCCCTACAGTCTCATTTTAAAAAAAAGTGGTTGAGTTTGGGCCATAATGTTGAGCCATATGCTGGGAAAAAAATATGAGTTTAATGTAGGGGCTTTTATTTTGAAGGGTTCCCGGAATCTTATTTTGAAAGTCTATCAGGGTTGCGTGTGAAGGGAAGGCTCATGGCCAGTAGTCATATTGTATCCATTTCCAAATGTTAAATCAGTGTTGTCTCCCTCCATTAGATTAAAATGTGCTGTTTAAAGTGGCAGAGGTAAAATCCCTTTGAAGCTCAGTTACCTTGACAACGCTTAACGAGCCTGTCAGTGAAAGAGAGAAAAGCGCATCATGTTAGTTCCTTTCCTCTCAGGCTTTTTTGAATGGGGAAATCAGCTCCGAACAAACGAGTGCTGAAGACAAACCGTAAATGGTATCTAAAAACTTCTTTCAGTCTAAGCGACAGCTATCTTTTGTCTCAGACTGGGGTAACTTTCATGGCTGTAGCTCATTCACGACCTTAATGGGAAGGAGAAATAAAAAGGTTTGTCACACCTGCTGGTCTCATTAAATAACATGCAGCTCAATAGTAGAGCCGAGGTCTCAAAAGCAAAACTTCCCCTCCGAACAAACGAGCGGTGAGCCAAAACCGTAAAAGGTATTCAAAAAATTGTTTCACTGTTGGCGTCAGCCATCCTTCGGGTTCGACTGTGCCAACTTTCATGTTTCTACCAAAAACTATTTGGCCACGGTGACGATGTAAAAATTTGTTTTTTCTGAGTATGAGGATTTTTCTCAGAATCAACGTTTTCCTATGCCCGAAGAAGTCAGCTAAACAGCTAAACCATAAATGATATTGAAAAAATTCCTTAAATGTGAGTGCTAGAAGCGTCTGGAGATGGCGTATACCAAGTTTCATGTTAGTACATCAAATGGTTAAGAAATGGGAGCGATACGAAAATATGTATCGTTTTGGATGTTGTCTGTGATTTTTTTGAAAGTCTCTCATTGTATATCTATTGGGGAAGTGTGGACTTCTTCGTGGTCTGGGCCAAGCTGTCGGAAAACTGTAAATGCAACACAAATGAGGGTTATATTTCCTGAGTCCTGACAAAAATCCTTACGTTTTGATGTAAAATTTATTTCAAATGAGTGAAAAATGAGGGAGTGAGAAGAATTTGTTCGGAAAAACCAGAACA